GTGATTAAATCTGCTAATATGTAATTTGCATTCTTTATTATTTAGAGACTTTTACGAAATTTAGCACAGGATGAGGTGAAAATTCATCTCATTCAACGACAAAAAGTAATAATAATGATCATTAAAATCTTAGAATATCAGATAAAATCAAAAAAGTATGAAAGGCTTACTGGAGATCGTAGTTTTTTATTTTGGTAACCAACATTCTATAAATCAAAAATATAAGGAGAAATATAAAACGATTAAATGGGAAGGAGTATCTGTAAATATTTATTAATTCGAATCTAAAATAAAAAAAAAAAAATCTAGGTTGTTATGGCTTTTAATCTTCCGTGGACTAAAATGTCATTCAAATTCTTATTACGTTTAAATGCTTTAACTAATTTTTTTTGGAATATATCAGGGAAATGACGTTGTAGTTCCTTATACAGTTCTTTGATGATTGGTATGGTTAGGCAAGCTGTACTACTGAAAAGTATAACAAAAGGAATTATTTGATAATCTAGCTGGACCGTTAAGACAGTTTTAGGAGATATAAATATAACATTTCAACACAAATTAAACATCTTGTTGTAGCCTTTTGTTCTTTAGTTATACATAGTTTGGTTCTTGATCACCATTACAGGATCTTGGTCATTATCCTATACTAAATATAGTTTAGTGAGCTGCTAGCCTGAAGGAGATTCTGAGGATGGTGCACAGATTTCTGTATCAGTCCAGCTAACAAACTGGTAAATTTGTTTTTACAAAATTTGTGACTTTTTTTTGTTGAAATTTCTAAGAGAGAATTGTGTTTCTTTTCGATGTAAACTTACAAAAGATCTTATTTTTACCAACGCAAAGATATTCTAAAACTATCAGTACTATTTTGAGGCTGATATTCCAATTCTCTTGAAAAATAACGAAAAAAATTCCAAAAACTTTTCAACATCATCTGTAATTAGATTGTTACTTAGTTTTTTGGATTTATCGCATTCTATTGTATAGTTATAACACCAGGTAAGTCCACTGATTTTAAGACTCATTTTCGCAAATGTTATTTTAATATTTTGGTCATCGCAAGTGGCAGTATTCCTTTAATTCTTCAAACTGTATTGGTATATTCTGTTCCGTTAACCTAAATACAGAGACAACTAAAGAAATAAGACATATAATAACATAATAATGATTTATTTTTTTGAGATTTCAAATTTTGTCATGAAGCAATGAAAAGAAAAATAAAAACTAAATTATAATAAATATTAAGAATTCATTTGTTCAGTTTAAATAGCCCCAATACTCAATATATATTATGCACTAAAAATATAATTCAGTGGGAAGTCATTTTCCTTGTAAGCAATAACTTAAAATCAGTAAATTTTTATTGAACAAAAAGATTTCTTCAAGACATGCATTCCTAAATTATTGGGTTACATGTTAGAATGGCACAATGTTTATATTTCACAAATATCCTCCAAGATCTACAAGGGGCCGCTCGATTGGCGAGTTCTGCACATAAGGGATTCATGGAATAAATGTCAGAATGAGAACATATAGCACATGTTCAGAACAAACCAATCAAACTCCACCCAAATTTGACACATATACACTAATATATATTATGCAGATATATAGATAGAAAGCTATCTTAATACTGTGGAATCATATTTTTTGGAAAATTCTGGATTTCATATGAAATATGCTATTTAGATATTATTTATTGCTTAATACTAGGTGTGTATGTGTATGGATTATGCTGATAACTTCATAAAACTGCAGATGCCCATCAACTTGATTAGATTAGTTTTAATATGTCACAGAAGAACTAATCAAGACAGATCAGTCTATTTTCTTTAAGGGGAGAAAAGGTAGCAAAACTATTTAAGCAGGACTTTTGCTAAACACTACTTAAACTACCTTGAAATAAAGTAGATTAGTCCCACTACACAGTGAATTGAAGTCAATACAAGCCATTTTGATGAAGAAAGTAAATATCCAAGCTTAACCACTGTGTTTCTGTATGTATATACCATTTATGTACTTTCCAATTTTAGAATTTAGTAACCTTTCCTAAAATACATACACATTAAATCACAACAAACCAAAAGCAATTCACAAAATGAAAATCTATGGTCTTTGTATATAATGTATAAGGAAGCAATGTTAATGTAGAATACAACTCTCAAAAATTCTAATTACTGAATTAAAAATTTTTTTTTTTGTCTTAAAATGACTGAATCCATAAAAACAGGGTCTCATAATCATATTTGAAATAAACAACCTTTCCTTCCAGAAATGCCTCTAGCAAATGACCACACCATGGCCAAAAAAATTATAAGGTAATTTCGCCACTGTTTTTCAATTATTGGTTAAAATTTTCATCAACCCAAACTCGATCTAAGACTCTAAGATAGGACTTGATAGGACCCCTGTAAAATCTATAAATAAACAACAAATACTATACAGCAACCAAATACAATATAGATAAAATATAGACAAGGAATTATAGGGTTTCTTTCACACAAATGAATATACATATATCCATGATCAAATTTTACACTTCACTGGCAGCCATAACAAAGAAATTACACCAATTATATAACTTCATACATCAATACACACGATGCACAATTTTAATATATTCTATTTGAATTCTATTTCTGTATTTAGCCTCAAGGGCTTATTATCTAACATACAAATTCATGAAGCTCAGTCATTCAAAACATATAGACAGTTCTCCTAAAACATTCAAAAAAGAAGTAAGTCATGGGTCTCAATTTTTGTATAAATGAATAAAAACTAAAATGGCCTTTTAGATTTTCAAAAAAAAGGTCACATGGCATAATTAAAAGCATTTGATGCTACTGGTTTCCATGCCAACATAGAGTTGACCAATGCCATAATAAGTACACTATTGTACCGATGGTGGCATTAGTAGGCTAATATCCAATGATTGGTACCTAAAACACTTTCCATATGGAAGTTAAACAAATGTCTCAAAGAATGAACATAAAATTTAAGTTCTCAAGAATGGTCAATATGAGTATATATTCATCAGTGAACCTACCTGGTGTCATAAAGTTACAACACAATCCCTGTAAAATCTGGAAAATTGGAAAATTCTTAAAACTAAGTTATTATTGAAAAACGTTTAATCTTAATGTTTTTCAATAGTTAACTGCATATTTATGGATAATTACTAAGTTTTTTGGATTTATCAGATTTTATAAGGATTCTGTTATGTTATTTATGACACCAGGTATATCTACTGATGAATATATGCTCTTATTGGCCAAGTTTAAAATTATCAAATTTATGTAGTATTCCTTTAAAGGAAATTGCTGCGAATCAACCTCCAACCCTTTCAGATAATCAGAATATGATTGACAGTAGACCTCCCAAATAAAAGGCACAGAAGAAACTTTGCCGTCTGTTGATATTAAAATTATGGAATCTCTTAAATATATGTAATAATACGTCTATACAAAAAGGAGACAATGTTTATAATGTGATATATCACAGATCTTAGATATGGTCATTTCAATTAATTTGGTTCTCACACATGTTTTGACTGACCTAGAAAATTAAATTTCCATCTTAAAGACTTTCAAAAGAACAATCAAAATTTTTATATTCATTAACTTTCGTATCAGATCTAAACATAAATTGTGTGCATTAATTTTAAGTTAAATCTCACAGAGAGAATCAAAATTCTTTCCATACAAATATCTATTTTATTTAACTTAGATTAGCTTCAAAAGTTCAAGGAAATTTTCTTTTTGGAAACTGAGGAGAATCTTTTCAAAAAGTGCGGAACTATGACTCTTGTATAGATATTTCAAGTTATTTAATCTAGATTAGCATATACTCTTAATTCAAATATCTAAATCTTAAAAATTAAATTCCTATAAATATGCTTCAAAAATTATCAGATTCTTTTGCTACTTCCAATGTTTCACCAAAATATTGTTTTGGATTTCCGGATTCATTTTGTGGTTCAGATTATTAGTACTTGGTTTATGTACCGTATTTAATCTAGATTAGCATATACTCTTAAACTGAATATCTAAACCTAACGAATGAAAATCCTGTAAATATGCTTCAAAATTAACAGATTCTTGTGCTACTTCCAATATTTTGCCAAAATATTGTTTTGGACTTCCGGTGTCGTTTTGCGGTTCAGATCGTTAGTACTTGGTTTATCTATTGAATCTAGATTTTTCAGATCCTAAGTCAAATTCCTTAATAGCACTAATATTATGTTTTGTACAAAATTTTTCAAATATTTTCAAGACACAAATTAACTTTTAAAAAAGAAATTAAAATGTAGATATATATATACATGTATTAAAAGCACTTAAAACATGAAACAAGATTTGGAATAAAAAAATTCAATAAAAATTTGACAGAATAAGATCAAAGCACCAATGATTTTAAGAAAAAAGATATAAAAATGACAACCAAAACCATGTCACTAACAAATGTAAGAATTCTGAAATTTACAAGAAAATATACAATTTGTTGGTAAAATTCAAACTTAACAATAATTAACAAAAATAATAATTAACAAAATATATTTTAGGCTGGTGTTCCACTTAATGCAATGTTTAAAATTACATGGAATTTCTGATTTTAGGCCACCAAAAAGTAATGCTTCAATCTGGAACATTCTTGATACAAAAATATCCTCACTCTATCTGAACTAGTCTTCAGATGTTTCCACCCTGTTTCCCCTATCAGTGATGCAGGTGACATGGAAAAAGTGTCTAGTCCTTCAGATGGGACAAAAACACAGGCTCTGTGTGCTACAGGCTGTATGTTAAAGATCCCTCAACAGTTGGAAATCGAAATAGAGTAAGCTAATGTCCCTGTCCTGGCTTAATTTCCCTCATTGCACACAGCATGGAGATGCACATCCTCATTAGCCCAAACAGGTAAAGAAATTTCCATTTGAACACATTCCATTTTATTGCATTAAGCAGAAACCCACATCCCAAAAATTCTTAACAATCAAAGCACTTTTAATGCTTATCATTTCCTATAGCACCTTTTTGTGTCATTCTGTTTCTTAATTTATTCAGATTATTAATAGTTAGATTATCATCTGGTTTTAATTTTAAAGCCTGTAAATAACTCTTCTCTGCTTCTTCTAATTTCTCATTAATATGTAACATGGCACCTAGGTTCATATGAGCTGTGGCTACCTGCAAAATACATGGAAAAATATGTTATTGTTGTAATTTTGAAAAAATGGGAGAGGATAAGTTGAAAGTGGTTGTTATATAATATAATTGAAATTACGAATGAACAGGCCAAGGACATAATTCAGCAACACCAAGTACTGTTACATGTAGAAAAAAGTGGCAAAAAAAAATATAATATTAGGTACTTAAAACCCCCAAAAAAAACAAAAAAATGTTTTCTGAAATTAATAGATTTTTCAAGAAATTGAAATTAATGAGATCCATAATTATTATTTTTCATTATTATTTGTGTAATGTAAAAGAGCAAAATCTCGTTGATCTCTGGGATATTAAGTTTAAGGTCCAACATTTTCAAACCACACTTACATTTGGTCTAAGTTTTACAGCTTTTCTATACATTTCCTCAGCTTCTAGATTACTACCAATTTGTCTACAAAATACACCAATAATTCATATAAAATTAATAGAAATAAAGAAACGTTCATATTATACAAAATAACAAGTTTGATTCTTGATGATCCTGTCTTCAAGTTTATCTTTGGCTACAGGCAGTTAAAATGAAAATGAAATGAATGGAGTTTTACGTCCTACTTTTCTGCACCATGTGGGCTAATGAAGACGGGCAATGCTATGTAGGGTGCAATGAGGGAAATTTTGCCAGGACAGCGGTATTAGCCTGCTTTTTTTCGATTTCCAACTGTCGAGGGATCTTTAACGTGCACAGCCTGTAGCACACGGGGCCTCGGTTTATTGTCCCATCCGAACGACTAGACGCTTTTTCTATGTCAGCCCCTGCATCACTGACAAGGGGAAACCGGGTTGAAAAATCCAAAGGTATTATCTCGACCTATGCCGGGAATGAACCCTGGACATTCAGGTTAATGAGCAAGTGTCTAACTCACTGAGCCGTGGCTCCTTACAGGCAGTTAAAGGTTAAGATAAGAAGTTATATAGATGCCTACCTGAAGATATTGGCAGCATTAAATAACAATTCAAAATCATGACTAGCTAGTATGATAGCTTGTCTATACATATCAGCTGATTCTTTATCACGATTACACTCACTTAAATACTGGGCTGAAAGAAACAACTATATTTTACAAGGATAATAACTTAGGTTCACAGTTAAAGATCCTTTCTACCATCTAGTCCTTGGTCAAACCTTTAGGCATTTATATTTCCCAGATTTTCCATACCCATTTACAGCTGGGTCAACTGGAATTATGAGTGAAGATGACTAACTCAAGATCACCAGAATTTCACACGCCGATCAAGATTGGAACCCACAGCCACCATTTGCTCAACGTAACCAAGAAAATGTCAAAAACCACTGTGCTATAAAACGACAGCTGGGTCAACTGGAATTATGAGTGAAGATGACTAACTCAAGATCACCAGAATTTCACACGCCGATCAAGATTGGAACCCACAGCCACCATTTGCTCAACGTAACCAAGAAAATGTCAAAAACCACTGTGCTATAAAACGTCGCAAAAAACTAAAATAGAGTTTCACATGGGCTCCAGTGATGTCGATCTTTTAATGGACAAGTTACACATGCTTGAAAAATTTGAAAAATTTTCAATGCCTTAAGCTTTCATTGTTTGCTTAATTTGCCAAAACATTTTCAGTACGAAACTTCGCAAATTTTATTTTTATTTGTTATTTTGTCAAAATTTTCACTTTCAGTTGATATAAATGAAACAGTTTAAAATGGGAGTGGAAGACATCAGTTCATAGAGAGTTAGATTGTTGTCTACTAAGCAATTTAGTGCTTTGGGTTGGAATCCTCCTTAAGGTAAGAAAATTTCTGATGCCATGGCAAATGCTTTTGAGAGTTGATTCATGTTACAATAGATGGTACTGGCTACTTTTTAAGTCAGAGCTACTTGACTTAACTTGACATACTATACTGCGCAGTTTCAGCTCTCTTTCAAAAAAACTGACGTGTGGTTCTTACGCAAGTCAGAAAAAATGCACAATGAAAATATGGCATCGTTTGCATCCTGTTCTGGTCTTGAATTCAGAAAATTATGCTCCTACAGCTTGAAAGCAAATATTTTGACAAATATATCAAGTTAAACTTACCATAATGATGTAGTACAGAAACATCACCTTTATCTATTTTTAAAGCTTTTTTAAACCATTGTTCAGCTTCAGCCATCTTGTTCTATAATATAATTAAACAAATCAAACAAAACAAACTTTCAAATTACACAACACTTTTAAAATATCTACATCAAGGGCTGTAACTTTGTCAAAATTTATTGAAATCATGCTCAAATTCAAACACATCAGACATCTTGTGGATATTAAAACACCACTCTACAACTATGGCCTCTATTGAGTTCACAAGCCACTTAACATATTTTCAGAAGGTTATCCTAAAAACAGTTTTGGAAGTTAAGACTGTTAGACATCCTTCATCATACTTCCTCGGGGGCGTGATAACACAAGTGAGAAAAATTACGTATTCATAGCAAAATATTGTCCAATCAAAATTCGCTCTACTGTATTGGTTGCAAATTTCAGCCAATCAAGACAAATCACTCGTTATGATGCTTTGTTTGTGAATATAAACAAAATGAAAGCAGCGTGCCATACATATTTGAATTGAGTAAGATTTTTGTTAAAGAATGAAGCCTAAAGAAAATCAAACCTTACTTTGGAAAATTAATTTGGAAAGAATGTGTTCTTATCTCTACAAACGGATGGCGGCAAAGAGATGTTGTGTTTCTGTTCTACCGATCTGATTGGTCAGATTTAAATGACAACAATCTAAATTTCCACGCCCCCAAAACGAACAGTAGTGGGCTTAGTTTAATACAGGTTAATAAGACCATGTCAAAACCCGTATTCATGATATGATGCCTAGCGCTAAGATCGTTAAGAGAATTTCTAATTTTTCAAAACACACCAGTAATAGCTTTTTGGATGTGTATCTTGTCTTCAACCACAAGACCATTGTAAATATATGTAATGAAAATTACCTTTCTCTGTAACAATTTTCCCATAGTTAAATGAGCTGGAATGTGGTCAGGTTTAGATTTTAAAGCTTCTTTAAACCATTTAGCACCCTCATCAAATTCATTCATTTTAACATACGCTTCACCTACAATAAAATACTCAATTTGACAAGAGCTTACATGTAGTATATGAGGAATACGAACACATGTGTTTTAAGGATCATTTACTCAAAGGCTGAGTGGCATTAGGTATTTTCAAAAAGTGGGCAAGTATTGCATTTTAGACTGCTTCCTCACCCACCATGACAGAAGAAATGAATACATTGAAAGTGTAGTTGATATAGTAAAAAAATCAACCAAGTGACAAAAAATATTAAATGAATGGTCTTCTATCTATCTTCTATAAACTGATAGTGCTCAATTTAAGGTATAAAAAAATCTTTTCTGGTTTTCAATAAAACTGTTTAATGGAAGTTTAGACTGTCATGATTGTATATAAAAATGCTGATAAGTGTTTACAGAATTGTATGTGAACAGGATGCTTAATTTCAATTCTTAAAAGTTATATGGACAGATGAAATTGAGCACCATCAAATCAAAGTATCTATTATAAAGCTAAAATTAATAAATAGATAGGTACTGAAGGTTCTAGTGACTTACCTAACATATTGAATAAACTTTGTGGTGCATAATGACTAGGTCTTCTCTCTAAAGCTATATGATAGTATTCTACAGCTTCCTTAAACAAAATATTGAAACAGGCATGACATGAATTCCAACCATTTAAAATATGATAAAAAATTTTTGCAGGATTCTTTCTCTTTCCTTCTCTTGCTTTTGGAGACACCCACGGAAAAAATATGAAACAAAATGATAAGGTTTTGGAACTTCATTGGATTGAAGAAATTCATAATTTTTGAAAATCAATCGCTCTGTAATTTTCATGTTTTTATCATTGTTCGAAATTTGTATTTGGACAAATTGCATTTCCCAAACTAAGACAAAAAAATTTCTTAATCTTAATCATAAAATTTTAAACTTCAAGGGACAGGCGCCAACTTTGTGGGGTTGATTTGAGACTTGAATATATGGAAATATAGTCTTCAGAAGTACTCAAACTGTACGTAAATCGCTTAATTCCTTAAAAAAATATCTCAAACAAGGAATTTCTTTTCCTATTCCTATAGATGTCTTACTTTCAAACACAAATAATTCTAGACACACATGGATTTGAAGGCTCAAATTTCGACTGTACCTGTGAACACTATTACTGATTGGCTTAGCTAAAAACAAATTCCCGCTTTTGAGCTTAAGATATGATTGGTCAAAAAAATTACGCAAGTGTCCATTTAAACTAACATTTTCAAGTTCCAAGATATTTTTGAGAAACAAGAGCCACTACACTTGAAACAAGTATAAGAAATATAGTCATGTCAACACCATATTCTATCAAAATACCTTTAATCTGTCTTGTTCTGTATATAATCTACCCAAATTATATAAACAGGATATCTTAGTTGATTCATGTAGTCTGGGATCTTTTAAACCAGATGTATCTAATTCTGCACAATGTTTATATATCTATAATAAACACATTTTAAATCATAACACTGTCAAGTCCAGACAGGGCATATGTTTAATGCAACCTGCTTGCGAGGACCCGCTCGATAGGTGAGTTCTGCACATGCAGGGTTCATGGAGTTCAGCTCAGAACGCGTTCCACGTGTGACAATAAAATAGTATGCAGAGAGAGTTCTAAATGGCTGAAATAGAAGAGAAAAGTTCGAATGTGACCTAATCTGGTTCTTTACCGTTCAACTGAGGCCAGAATTGAAACAAACAGAATCTTTTCAGAAGTAAATTAAGTAAATTTCCTGTATACAATTAAAGATGGGTTTCCTTATTTTTTTAGTTTTAAATTAAGCAAACTATTTGATTAATTGGTGTTTGTAATGAATTAGCATGTATTCTTAATCATATCATTATGTTCTTATTGCATATAATTAAGAGTTTTAACCAATCATAAATGTCCATGTAAGTACAGTCTGGATATACAAAAAAGAGACTTTTTGACTTTTCTTGATCTGTCACTCAATGAAATTCTGGAAATTCTCTTCTAATCAAGCTAATTATGAAATAATTATGGACATGTGAGACAAACTGGTATTTTTTTAAGTCATTAGAACATCTCTATATTCATATAAGTATTAGCAATTTCATTGTCATAAATAAAAATAAGGGAACCCATCTTTAAGGAATAAAGGATTTAATTCGAAACGTTTATCAGAATATAATTAAGGTTTAAGAAAGAAAATCTATTTTGCATTTAAATAGGCACAATTCTTTACATAAACCTAAATCTTCCAAATAAAAACTAAGATAAGTAAGATAGCATGACAATTTAAACACCATGTATTTACTATAGAGGGTTCACATTACAATTAAAACTAATTTCAACTTAAATGATTATTTCCAACTTTATTTACCTTTTCTGCTTCTTCGACCTTGCCTAATAGAGTAAATATTATCCCTAGATTTAAATAAGCCACTGAAAATACAACCAACACCTTTATAAATAAACAGTTGTAGTACAACTAACAATTATTGAGTTATCTCCCTTTAGTCTTCAATCAGAGTTATCTACTCTTTAGTCTTCAAGCAGAAGTGCACAATTTTCAATCAATTTTTATTTACTTCATGAGTGGATTTGACTCAATAAAATTTGCCTCTACATGTCTCTGCAAGTTACTGATTGACAACAAAAAATTGAAATTCATTGAATTCACACTATGGAAGGATTTTGATCTGTGCCCTGAAATTGGAAGTAGAAGAGAGCTGACTCTCAAAGTCCTTGCCCTTGCATATGAAATTTTTCCTTGAATCATTTTTTACATGTACATGTGGCCTACTTACTTGATAGTCTAGGTCTAAAATGTTTAGCTTTATTGTAACTTTCTACTGCTTCATCATAACGTTTCTGTTCTTGTAATAATATTCCCCTAAAATATAGAAAAACATGATGAACCAACTGATGACCTCTGTTCTGTTGATGATTAATTTTGCTTAAATCATGGTACAAATGAGGCAAGCTGCTTGGCTAAAATTTGATTTTAAACAACCCTATTATACAAGAAAAGCAACAAATTGAGTCACTGAAGCTTGACAAACCCAGCACAACATACTAAAAGTATTAATACTTCAGTCAGTTTTTGGGGATTATCAAAACTTACTTTAAGCTGTATTAACTGCAATATTGAGGAAAGATGACTTAATGATTTAAAGGCCTCAATGCTCTAGGGCCATTGGTGTTACTATAGGCCTAATGAATGAAGCTATTTAGGGAAGATACAGCATAAAATAATTAAATCTGACAACTACAAAATAGTACACTTACAAATTATAATGGACATCAGCCATATTGCCTCGATATCTCAATGCATGTTTATATGCTATTTCAGCTTCTTCTAGTCTTTTCTGACCATTCCAGATATTAGCTAAATTACCCCAGGCTGCAATAGACAAAACAAGTGTAAGTGGATGCTTTAACGTTAATTTGTGACCGTCATATATATCAAGATAGTGGACTACAGCCATATACGCCCTTCACGGCACGCAGATGGTAAACACAAAACATCCAGTAAGTTTCATCAAAATCGGTTGAAAACTAAGAGAGTAATAGCATATTCAAGATTTTGGGGCAAGGGTAATAACTCTGCTCTAAATAGCTCAAATTCGAACTTGATCTTCGTTTTATGGATATGTATACACATACCGAATTTCATTTGATTTCATCAAAAAATCTAGATTTTAGTGCGTTTACAAGCAAATGTAGACGGACCGACGGACAGCGGAGAGATGTGAGTGTATAAAAATAAATGTGCCATTTCAAATTTTTCATTATAAGAAATCTTGAATGCCTATAGCCTATAATTTCACAAGAAATAAATTCATAATACCATCCAAATCAGTCACTTCACCTACAGGAGAAACCTACTCTTGACTACAATGTTTACTGAATAATATTTTGGCAATCATTTCCTTATGAATTGAAATATCAACTACAAAATACTACTGAGAGTCTTAGATTATCTGTGGGTTGATCAAAATGTTAACCACTGGAAAAGTTATTATTTGCAAGCATGATTTCTCAGAGGGAAATTTTCAGTCCGAAAAGTGAGGTCATTTTCATGTGAATTTTCTGGAAGGGAAGTGTTTCTACTTAAAATGTAAAATCACTGAACCTCATATTTCTATGGACCTGAAGACACTCTACGATAGATGGTATACAGTTGAAAATTTTATTTTTAATATTTATGCTATGAGAGAAAAATTCAATTCAAAGATCAACGTAGTCAAAGAGTAGACAGCTGTAAGTACAACTTCGTACACTGCACGTTTTTGTAATAAACAATAAGGAAAAATGTAATGAGCCACAACTGAAATAATTCCATGATGCTTTTTACATTTACTATGACTATTGTTTATAATACATCATTTATAAATATGTCAATTCTCAAATTTCACACGTCTGTAGAATGTGCAGAAGATAAATTAACCTAAAATAATTTCTTTTACTACATTTTCTCTTAGTTAAATAAATATACTTGTCAATCTACAGACTGAAGTTTTAAATTTTATCACAAAAAATTTTGTTGATGCAGATGAATTTTTTCCTTGCCATGGGATGTTGCATAATTTATCATTTCCATGTTGGGGAGTAATAATTTAAAGCAGACGCATGTTACGATACATATCATGATGTGGATTAATGGGATAAAAATTAACATTTAATCTTCAAAGTTTCTATATATATTAATTCATAACTTTATAACTGTGATATTTGGTAATATAGTTGATAGAAATGGTTAACGTCTTATCTACAGACTGAAGTTTTAAATTTTATCACAAAAAATTTTGTTGATGCAGATGAATTTTTTCCTTGCCATGGGATGTTGCATAATTTATCATTTCCATGTTGGGGAGTAATAATAGCAGACGCATGTTGGGGAGTAATGATAGCAGACGCATGTTGGGGAGTAATGAAAGCAGACGCATGTTGGGGAGTAATGAAAGCAGATGCATGTTACGATACATATCATGATGTGGGTTAATGGGATAAAAATTAACATTTAATCTTCAAAGTTTCTATATATATTAATTCATAACTTTATAACTGTGATATTTGGTAATATAGTTGATAGAAGTGGTTAGTGTCCACTGTCTTATTAAAAGTTTCTATATATATTAATTTATAACTTTATAACTATGATATTTGGTATTATAGTTGATAGAAGTGGTTAGTGTCCACTGTCTTATTAAAAGTTTCTATATATATTAATTTATAACTTTATAACTATGATATTTGGTATTATAGTTGATAGAAGTGGTTAGTGTCCACTGTCTTATTAAATGTTTCTATATATATTAATTTATAACTTTATAACTGTGATATTTGGTATTATAGTTGATAGAAGTGGTTAGTGTCCACTGTCTTATTAAAAGTTTCTATATATATTAATTTATAACTTTATAACTATGATATTTGGTATTATAGTTGATAGAAGTGGTTAGTGTCCACTGTCTTATTAAATGTTTCTATATATATTAATTTATAACTTTATGACTGTGATATTTGGTAATATAGTTGATAGAAGTGGTTAGTGTCCACTGTCTTATAAAAAGTTTCTATATATATTAATTTATAACTTTATAACTATGATATTTGGTAATATAGTTGATAGAAGTGATTAGCGTCCACTGTCTTATTAAAAGTTTCTATATATATTAATTTATAACTATATAACTGTGATATTTGGTAATATAGTTGATAGAAGTGATTAGCGTCCACTGTCTTATTAAATGTTTCTATATATATTAATTTATAACTTTATAACTGTGATTTTTGGTATTATAGTTGATAGAAATGGTTAACGTCTTATGAAAAGTTTCTAAAATTTCAGTAAAAACAATTGTTATATCATATAACAACTTATAAAAATCCGAACTTTTGTATGGAATAAAAGGTATCGCCTTTTGTCACAAAAAAAAAACAAGTTGGCCCAAGAGATTCTCTCAACTACATTTTCAGTATATTTTTTTCTTGATTACTTCAAAAGAAATTTTAAATAATGTCCATATTTAATAGAAAGTTCATCTTTAGAACATACAGATGTCCTTTTCTGCATAGGAATGGCTGCATATTCCTCCAATACAACAAATAATTAAAAATGCATCTAATAGAAGTTCAAATAGAATAGAAGATCTAAAAGAAATGAGATGTAACTAAAATAACATTGTAAAGTATTTTAAAATGCACAGTACATGATGAAGAAATATACTATGTAAAAAAAGACATGTTAAACTGGTATGGTTAATCTATTATCACTCTAGTATGTATTTTAAACCAAACTAATATTGACAACAATCTTCATCAATTTCACACCCTTTTTTCTTACGTCTGCTACACTTTTCACCTTTTCATAAATATCAATGTCAAGGGAGTTTGGGTGTTCCACGGCAATGGGAAAAGCTTTCTTTGAGCTAGCTTTCCTGTGTTTCCATTGGAGAAAATTGCTGAACCGTTACTGTTTTTTAACATGCTTTCGACAATTAGTAGGGCCCAATTGAAAGCTAGATCAAAGCAGGCTTTCAATTTACTCAATGGTTACGCAAAATCCAGCTTTTTCTTGTTCAGCAATAGGTGGGTACTGGTATCTAATGGTTAACTTCCAATTAAGTCGTAATCTCATATATCATGAGCTGTCATCAATGTGTGGGACTTTGTGGTTAAGGTTAAAGTTGTTCGAGAACCAGTTAAACTCAGAGTAAACACAATGCATTCAGCAATTAAGCTGGTTTTAAACTTTACATTAAAATTCTCAGTAGATACTTAAAGTTGCTTTAAATTTTCATAACCAAACAAATTCCCATAAAAATTCAATTCACAATTTGATCTCAATTCATTTGAAATGAAACAATGTTTCACCTCCTAATTTTCAGTGACTAATTATGCTAAAGAAGATGGACAAGATCGTGTACAATGCGGGAAAAGTTTTGCATGGACACTGGAATAAATCCAGTCTCTACTCTCTACTTAATTTCAAACAAAAGAGACGCAAAGAAGTAGGTGGTATATAAATTACGAAAGCACAGGCCGAGGAGAAAAATCAGCAACATCAATCACTGTTATGTGCAGAAAAAATTGGAGGAAAAAGTAGGATAGAATGTATGGCTAAAGCCACCAATAGATGAGGTGCGGTTGCTGACTCACCTTTAGCAGGATTAACAGGAATACCAGATCGATACAATTGTTCTTCTGTTTGCCAATCACGATTCCTTAACACAGTCTTAACACTAAACAATAAAACAATCACAATAACAGAGACAATCACACTTTTCTTTAACCAGTCTTCACAGCACTTTTTATATAACAACCAAGCACCATGTGCCACTAATAAACAAATTCCCATACTTGGAATGTACAAGATCCTTTCAGCTATCACAAATCCCACATAGAAAAACATATTGGACGCAGGAATGAAGGGAAATATTATTATGGACAGCGAAATGATCAAAATTTCAATGTTGCTGGAATCTTTTTGAGCAAACACAGGCATTTCTTCACAACTATCTGTAGAGCTATTAGATCCTCGACGTTTTAATCTTGTTTTGGCGTAAACCGTTGTTTTTGTATTACTAGCTGAATGATGTCCAACACCGTTTCCATTTGAATGTGGTTTTACAAAATGAGATAAATTACTATAACGACTTTTGCTTAAATCTTTTAAAATTTTCATGGCTATGTACACTAAAATAGAGTATAATAACAACGTCCATATATTTCTAAAATCTGCAAGGTTTTGAATTAAAGGAATAGATTCCATCGACCAATCAAAACTTAATACACTGGGACATAACAATATCCATACATTATAGGCAGGTAAAAAATTATAAGTTAGTGTACGAGTTAAAAAACTATTAGAATCTGAGGCAGGATTGTCGGACGGTGCAAACTCTGGAGGTTTATTTCCCATAAAATATAATCTTAAAATAACTAATATGATACCATAGGTTGAGAGTAATATACCACCTTCTAATAATCGAGACTGAAATATACAAAAAATAATTCAAATTAGAAAACAATTGGTAATAATCAACATATCAGGGTAGATATCGCATGAACAGTGGCATTTATAGGAATCATTAGGTGGAAGGGTTGAAAAGTGGCCACAGAATTGCCTTTGGGCAAGCTGCACCAGGCAATTAAGAACTCAATAATTCTTTTTAAAAGTGTATGTTGTCACTTCAGTATTTTTGTCATCTGCACTAATATGTTTTTGTATTATGCAATGTAACAATAAAAAAACATTTTCACTGTTAAAATAGTGCTCAATATACTCTACAGTGCTCTTCACAAAGTCAAGCTATTACGAACTTCATCTTATACCTTGACTGCAACAATAACCTTTTTTCTGACACAGAATGCAGTTAGTTCGATTGAAGCGCAAGCAAATACAGCCAATCAAAGCATTCCAGAAACAGACTGGAAATATCATGGCTTATTGTTTACAGACCTTCGCACAAGGAGTCTGGCTGTATTCGCTAACATACAATCCAATCAAATTGCTGCATCTACAAATTTCAGTGATACAAAGAAAGGTGGCTATTGCAGTCAAGGTATTAAACACAGTATGTATAGATTGGCATTGTGAAGATGAGATCAATATAGACATATTATTAGTATATCTCAAATACAGTTTGTTACAGTTTTTATTACAGAAATATAAATGCAATAATTTGATGAACCAAAACAATATGTGAACAGCATAAATATAAAATATGTAGCATTAAAGATGGGTTTCTTTATTTTCTAATGTCAAATTAAGCAAACTATTTGATTAATTGGTGTTTTCTAATGAATTATCATGTATTCTTAATCATATCATTATGTTCCTATTGCAATAGTTTTAACCAATCATAAATGTCCATAAACGTCCTGTCCAGTCTGGATAAACCAAAAAACCTTTTTGACCTTTTTTGATCGGTCACTCATTGGAATTCTGTTGGTAATTCTCTTCTAATTTTGCTCATTATGAATTAATTATGGACATATGAGACACACTGGTATTTTCCCAAGTCATAAGGACACCTTTACTTTCTATTCATATAAGTATTAGCATTTTTATTTTCATAAATAAAAATAAGGGAACCCATCTTTAAATCAAACAAAAAATTCTATTCCCCTATTCCCATAAATCACCATGCAGAAAATAATAGCCCAGACAGCCATTAACCAGTATGATATAATTGAAAAATAATAATAGTGTTCTGTCATTTAATTTCAAATGAGACATGAAAATGAGCAGAGCTAATACAATAAGATTAAAGGTGTTTGTGGGTCAGTAAGTATAAGTATTATAGCCTACTGTCTAATTCAGTATGAATCTATCATCAATCAGCTAGAATAATACCCTGTCATACCACACCTTATTGTGAAATATAAACTAGCTCTGATTATATCCTAGGTATTAAATATCATATGAAATAACTTTATGCTTTATGACATGCAATTTCTCATGGAAAAAATGTCACAGTAGAATTTTTTGTATCTTTTGTTTTCTTGGAATAATTATGGCAGTTGAAAACAATTTTTTTTTTAAATTTTTCGTGATTTAAATTATATGCGTTCAATTTGACAAATATTGTTTGCGCCCACGTACACCCATACACACAAATGTTTACATTTTCCCACTCAATGCGTTAGAATCAACATAGTAACTAATTTTGATGAAAGTGGGTTACAGTCATAGAATGAAGAGTTATTGCCCTCATGACATTCTTTTTTTTAGTGCAGACAAACCAGACGTCAGATTTGTATTCTGAAAAGCGAAATGGAAAGCTGAAATTGAGCTTCTGAGCTGTAGCTGGGGAAACAAATATTTCAATAACCATATGACTTTAAAGGTATACTACATCTTAGGATGACCAAAAAATTGAAATGTGTAAGTTTTGCTAAAAATAAAATTAAGTAATTATTTATCAAACTTAAGTAATTTTGAAACATACTTAGAAATGTGTTTTAATAATTATTTAGTTTAATGGATATATCATCTTATATAGAGATTCTATTCTTTAGTCATGTCCAACTGATGAAACCAATGTTGAAACTTTAAATTTTATGTCCATTCTAATAGGTAGTATTCAAATATTTACTAAATCATAAAAGTAAAAAAAAAAGTGCTTTTAACAATTGTGATTGTGGACATGCATTTTCAATAAATCATACTGCATACATTTTTAATAAATCATACTGCATACATTTTTAATAAATCATACTGCATACATTTTTAATAAATCATACTGCTTACATTTTTAATAAATCATACTGCATACATTTTTAATAAATCATTCTGCATACATTTTCAATAAATCATGATGTATACATTTTCAATAAATCATGATGCATACATTTTCAATAAATCATGATGCATACATTTTCAATAAATCATAATGCATACATTTTCAATAAATCATACTGCATAATTTTCAATAAATCATACTGCATACATTTTCAATAAATCATGATGCATACATTTTCAATAAATCATGACTGCATAATTTTCAATAAATCATACTGCATACATTTTCAATAAATCATACTGCATACATTTCAAATAATGTCAACCAAGTATGCACATTTATATTTAAATCATACATTGCAAGTCTGATTTATGTACATAATCTATTCAAATATTGGTTTTCGTACCCAAAAACACTGTAATAGAAATTGGTTGAAAGTTAAACTAACATATGAGGTGTTGATGTAAGAGTGAGTATATGATTGTTTATTTAGTATATTATGAAAGGGTGTTGAAATATGGCAAGTTTTAGAATAATTCTTGTCTAGAGAAGAAGAATATGTCTTTGTCTTCAGTTAAAAAATGCTCTTTGTTTTTACATGTTCCGTTTATAAATAATGCAAACAGTTACATTTATTATTCAAGAATACCTTAAAGGGACAGTTGCACCATTTTTTTGAACTATCATACCTTAGTCTCAGAAACAGGAATTTTTTAGCTAAGTCAATCAAAAATAGTGTTCACAGCTCACTGTCAAAGTTTGAGCCTTCAAATCCCTGTGTGTCCAGAATTATCCAAAGTTGAAAAGACAAGTCGTCTTTTATTGAGATACTGCTATATATAGAAAAGATATCTATAGCAAAGAAATTCCTAGTTTGAAATATTATTTATAGGAATTATGTGATTTTTGTACATTACAAGTACTACTGAGGATTATTTACATATGTTCAAGACACAAACCAACCCCCTAAATGGTGCATGTGTCCCTTTAAAAATAGGTTTTGAAATTGCAGGTTTTATAAATGCTAATGAGTTATATCAAGACATTTGCCATGATTAGAAAGACTTTTACATGTTCACGCACCAAATACATCTATTTTCAAGATATACTCAAAAGAACATATAAGCATGTATGAAGATGTACATAGTAAAAACAACTTTTTAAAATGATATGTCACACTCAATGACATTGAAGTTTTGCACTGCAAAAAAAAACATTAAGTTTTTGCTCACTCAAGTAAGCTTGGATGGTGCCTTAAAGATGGATTTCCTAATTTTTTAGTGTCAAACTAAGCTGATTTAACTATTTGATTTATTGGTGTTTCCAATGAATTATCATGAATTCTTAATCATATCATTACGTTTTTATTGCATATAATTAAGAGTTTTAACCAATCATAAATGTCCATGTATGTACAGTCTGGATAAACAGAAAAAAGACACATTGACCTTTCTAGATTGATCACTCATTGGAATTCTGCTGGTAATTCACTTCTAATTTAGCTACTGAATTAATTATGGACTGGTATTTTTCCAAGTCATTAGAACACCTCTACTTTCTATTCATATATGTATTTTCATTTTCATAAATAAAAAGACTCATTGACCTTTCTTGATTGGTCACTCATTGGAATTGTAATTTCTCCTCTAATTTAGCTAATTATGAATTAATTATGGACATGTGAGACAAACTGATATTTTTCCAAAAAATTACTCTCCTTTGGTACAAAATCAGATGTTTGGACTTCAGAGATCTCAATCTCAAGATTTTTAAAGTACAGCTAGTGATTTTATTAAGAATAGATCTATATGCAAAGGGACAGATTCGCCAATTTTTGGGTCTTGAATATAAGTAAATAGTACTAGAAATATCTGAAAATTCACTTTCTATTTCTTTGTCTTTTCTATAAATGACAGAGCCTCAAGAGAAGATGAGTCACCATTTTAACTTTCAAATGCAGATAAGTCTTGTTTGATACACATGGATTTAAAGGCTCAAATTTGAATGGTGAGCAATGAACACTATTATTGATTAGCTTAGATTAAAAAATTCCAGTGTCTAAGACTAAGATACGATAGTAAAAAAAAAATGGCGATTGGTCAAAGAGATGATATTATCCCTTTAACGTTTAGTCTTCTGATTTTTTAAGATCGGTAAAACATGAATGTATAAAAAAACAATTGCAATGTTTGATGTTTTCTAAATCATTATTATATGATTATATGGAATTAATAGTATGATTTAACAATGTATGATAGATTAATAATCAGAGTATGATATAATTAATTAACAATAGAGTGGTATTACATCATAGATCACTGTCATATTCTCTTAATATCAAATATTGATATTTCTTTATCACAGTTCTCAGTAAACACTTTACTGTTTGTTCACATGTAAAAAGTTGATTCAGTGCAGACATATAGATTTCAAAGAAAGGAGGTAAACAAAAAAACTTGACAGAAAGTAAAGTGGCCGACCATTAACAATCCCTTTACAACTTCCAGATTTTGCACTAATCACAATGTTTGGAAGCTTCAATTTTGAACTGGGATTTTTTTTTCATCAGATCCTGCTATTGGTATTTATCTAGAAGTTGGCCTAGGTCACAAGAAGAGACTATGGATTTTAGCATAAGGATAAATCAATTTGATAAGAAATTAATTGCTTCTGGCTAGATTTACAAGATAAACAAATCATTTATATATGCAAAGAGATTGCTTCAGGGGATCAAATCTGCCATAGAAAAGAGCATTACTCAGATTTATTTTTTAAGCAGTGTTTAAATGTTTGATATATATATTGGTCTGAAACACAAAATCTTTTGACTTTCCTTATGAATTCTTCTTAATACCTTTTCTGGATGCCATTGACCTGAAAACCTCTGGATTGTTTTTGTCTACTTTTTTGTAAAACTCTCCATAATATACTAGTTTCGGTCCAGAAAATCCATCAAAACTATTTTGATACATTACCATATAGCTTATGTATCTAAATTGTGAAATATTTGTGCTTAAGATGTCATTCCTTTTTATTTAAAGGGATAGTTGCGCCATTTTGGGGGGTTTCGAGTCTTGAATATATGTAAATAGTCTTCAGAAGTACTAGAAAATCCCATAATTCCTTTAAAAATATCTCAAGCTAGTAATTTCTTTTTCTATTTCTAGATGTCTTTTCCTTTACTTTTAACTTTACAACATAGATAATTCTGGACACACATAGATTTCAATTTCAATGGTGAGCTGTGAGGACTATTACTGATTGGCTTAGCTAAAAATTTCCCGTTTCTGAGACAAAAATACGATTGGTAAAACAAAAATGGTGCATCTCTCCTTTTAAGAAACAAATCAAAAAAGCAAAAATCAAAAAAGCATGTAGATGACATATCTGTTATAATTAGAAAAGGGCTTTTTAATCCTATCTTGAATTTGATAATTTAATATATACATATCTCTGAAATCTACTCTAAAAAATCCTATAAAGACGGGATATTAATAGAATGATAAAAACTAAGATTTATAAAACATAGATTTATAAAAATGTTGATTGATGACAATCCTTTTAACATTTTGACCTTTTTATGGAGTTATAAGAAATGGTTAATCTCAACATTTCATCTTGTATCAAGATATGCAAGTACTGATACTTCAAGTATTCCACTTCTTTGCCAATATTTTTATGATATATTCTTAGAGATATGTAATTTATAAGCCTTCCTCTTAATTGCATTTTATCTTTTTTATTTCATTGCATGAGAAATCTTATATGTTCATCTTCACAAAATCAAGTTATTAAGAACTTCGTCTTGTATCTTGATTCAAATGGCTGCCTTGCTCATATCAATGTATCTTGGAAATGGAGCAATTTGGTTGGATGATACATTGGCAAATATAGCCAATCAAAGTTCTCGACAAAAAGTCTGTAAACACTAAGCCATAATTTTTACAGCATTTATGTCTAGGGCTCTGATTGGTTGTATTCGCCGGAGTACAAATCAATCAAATCCCTGCATTCTGTGATACAAGAAAGGCAGCTATTGGAGACAAGGTATAAGTCAATGGTCATAATAGCTTGACATTGTGAACATGATGTGTGTCACTCTATAATTGATGTATTGAGCACTATTTTAACATTGGTATATCTATATCACTCTATAATTGATGTATTGAGCACTATTTTAACAGTGGTATTTCTATATTACTCTACAATTGATGTATTGAGCACTATTTTAACATTGGTATATCTATATCACTCTATAATTGATGTATTGAGCACTATTTTAACATTGGTATATCTATATCACTCTACAATTGATGTATTGAGCACTATTTTAACATTGGTATTTCTATATCACTCTACAATTGATGTATTGAGCACTATTTTAACTGTGGTATCTCTATATCACTCTACAATTGATGTATTGAGCACTATTTTAACATTGGTATTTCTATATCACTCTACAATTGATGTATTGAGCACTATTTTAACAGTGGTATTTCTATACAACTCTACAATTGATGTATTGAGCACTATTTTAACAGTGGTATTTCTATATTACTCTACAATTGATGTATTGAGCACTATTTTAACAGTGGTATCTCTATATTACTCTACAATTGATGTATTGAGCACTATTTTAACAGTGGTATTTCTATATCACTCTCGATTGATGTATTGAGCACTATTTTAACAGTGGTATTTCTATATCACTCTACAATTGATGTATTGAGCACTATTTTAACAGTGATAATATTTTGTTATTGTAAAATATAAGATAGAAACACTAAAACAGAATCCAAAAGATGTTGTAACATAATTGATGTATTGAGCACTCTATTAACAGTGAAAAGCGAATATAATAATCATACTTACCAATTTTAATATTTTTAAAGATATGACATCTGTTAAAGTCACTTTATGCACAATAAACATATCATAGGCGAGACAAACCCCTAACACAGTAATTGCTTGTTCTTTAGTTAATAATCCTGCTGTAGTCCATAAATACACTCCAAATATATATACCCATCTTTTAGTGGCGTTATCACTGGTATCACGATATGCTGTATATTTCATATAACTTAAAAATGTTAAAATAAAAAACAAACAGGCACCTTCGTCTGCTCGTCCTACGATTCCTGCCACAGCTTCTGTGTGGATAGGATGGGACGCAAACAGACATCCTGCCACAAGAGTAGGGATGGAATGTTTTACAAATTTTCTAGCTAAAATAGTAAAGATCGCTGTCACTAACGAATGTAACAGCACATTTCCAAGATGGTAGCCCCATGGATTCAGTTCTCCTAGATAGTAATTGAGACGGAAAGTTAATACACATAATGGTCTGTAGGATTTGTGTGATCCACTGTGAGTTAATGGTGTTCCCCAAAAGTCATCATAAAATAAATTAATCACAGGTGTTTCTGGCAGTAAGTCTGGATTTTTCTGTATGGCTCGACTGAAAAGATAAAAAGAAATACATTAGGCAGGAGCTCATTTAGTTTGGAATACTTTAAAATAGGTTTTCGGAATGGTGTTAAATATGAAAAAAAGTTCAAAGAGTTTCTTGAGAAATGTCTGGTATAGTCTTTATTTCCCCATTGAAGATATATAACCAGCCAAAACATCATCCAAAATGGCCGACATAAGATGTTAAATTTGTACTTTTCATAAATAATTCGATTACCTTGCCGTATCAAAGTTTGATCAAATAAAGTGTAAGTACTAATATAAGCATTTCAAGGAATTGAGGGAGCCATTACTAAATGAAGTTATTTTTATTATAGGATTCATTGACCACAGGTGAAAACTAAGATAATCATAGCTTTGCTCTATTTTGAATTATATGGATCTGTAGTCAATAGAACCTATACAAAATTTTTATTAAATTCCTGGCTTGAAGTCACAGGAACTTGTTTATACTTAGATATATGTTTTTAATATAAAAACCTCATCAAAATAGCTTGATTGTAAATGGGGGTGGGGGAGGGGAATTAATTATGCAGTACTGGTTTTTAGTTGAGAGAGAGAAATATATCAGCAAAGGCAACCAGCCAACTGGACAGAGGCCAGATTTAAATACTGTAACTATTAACTTGAAAGGATAAGAGGTTTTCTTAAATTTTTATGTGTATCGGGGGCCACTGATAGCATTAATTTTCACCATTTCAATTTGTTTGTTGACGTCACTAATTGCAAAATATTCCTCATCACATGATGTCCTTTGTGATTAGTGACTTCATCAAACATTTAGTTTTAGTGGAATTGCAAGAATCACATAGGTCTGATTGAAAATTGAAATGATGCAAATTGATGCTATCAGTGTCCCGATACACACAAAATTAAGAAAAATTTCACAAAATTTTGATTTTATCATGGCAAAACTCAATCATGTAAACAGACAAACAATAAGAAACCAGATTAAAATCATATTGAAATAAGTCCCTATGATGATAAATTTTCATGTGGGAAAACAAATAGTCAAACAATAAGAGTAAAGTGAAAGTAGTAAATTGTATATTAAAATTATAACTGATAAGAAAATGACTGGTATTTACGTTATGTAAATGAGATGTATTCAAGGCTTAGATATAGCTTATAGGGATTAAGTCAAGGTGATAAGACAAGAAGTGTAAACAATCATGCCTCCATAGATTACATATATATCATATCATATCGGGGGTTATCCAATAACCAAGTCAAAAACTACAGGGTCAGTCGTTCAAGCTCGAGTTCTCCTTCAGTAATTGAGAAAATTGGTTTAAATTTCAAACCAAACATTAAAATAGTTGAAAAATAAATAGATTTGATAACAATCTTAATATTGGTATAATTCATGTATATATTTATACTCTGACTTGGCTTCAAAAAAGCAGTAAAAAAATGTGCACATGGTAATTTCGGGTGGTTGATAGATTTATCAACTTGGCCCTTATAAATCTTATTTTGTAGTGTGATAAATTCAACAATTCATATTTTTTCTTGGTATATTTTTGAAAATTTTGTGGAAACATACATTTGTAAATGTCTTAGAATGCCAGAAAAAAACCACTAACCCCCACCCTAAAAAAAAAAATTCCATATTATGTACTTATACACTTCTGGAAAATTATAGTTGCTAATCTGAGTTCCATAATTTAAACTTTGTAGGGATAATGCAGGGAAGATCAATGCCAAGAGGTTTGGCCAATGACTCATTGTTAAAGTGGACCCTTGAAAGTTGATGTCCTTTAAAAAAAATATTAATTTCAATTTTTTATTTATACATAGAAATACATTATAAGAAATATGTGACACACACATAGATGACATTTAAACTTATAATATTTTATAAGCAGAACTCCAGTAGACATTTTTATTTGTATTTTTAATATAACACCTGAACAGATAAAAATATGATTAGCAGTAATAAACCTATCATACTCAAATTATATTAATGTCCTATATTAGGTTCATAAACCCTATATTATAAGAGGTATGGCGTGATCCATACTGTTTTTTTAAAGGGATACAGTCCCATCCATATCTGCTTCATCTGCATTCTGATCGAAGGTATCCTTATTAAATTAGAACAGAACTGCGATAGAAAAGCTGTTAGATCACAATGGAGTGAAAAATATCAGAAAAAAAACTATATCTAAATGTAATCCAATTTTAATATTATTCATCCTAAGACAAATGTTAATGTGCTAAACACAAGTTTCTATCACTGCAAAGCGCATTACTTTACTGCAATTGAGGTTATAAGAATTTAACTGTATTTGAACCATTTTCATTCATGTGAGAAAAGAGTGCACTTCAAGGATACATTGAGTAAATATACTGCCCTATCTGAAGTTTTCTCTTACAAATCTACAAAATCAATGACATTTTACTACACTTGAGAACAATGGTCGCTCATTGCTTATGTTTCCCTTTCTTGCTAACTAATTGGATGCGATCTTTGGAATGCTAAACTCTCTAATAGAGTTAGTTATGACTGTTGGCTAATTGTAGTCTCTTTCTGAAATTAAAAGTCTGATAAATGACCAACAATGGCATATGTTTCCGTATTAAAATTCAGATCACTATTTTTTTTGAAATATCAAATCAACATCCAAAGGCGCCTGCACAGAGAGAAAGTGTCACACACCAAATCATCTCTGAGTGTCGGGGGACCTTAAAATCAAGTTTGCACGTCCTACAGTTGGATATTCCACTTCAAAATCACCATAAATTACGCTACACCCTTTTAGAAAACACTTTTTTTTACCATCTTTGACACCTTGAATTATATGTATGTTTGGCAATGCACGTAGTCCTTCTAGTAAAAAAATTGTGCATTAAATATTTACCATTGTAATAAATCAGAAAGAAGTAATAAATAACACGAAACTGTAAGATATAGCACGATAAGCGACACATTTGAAGATATAAGATTAATAAGATTGATATGATACAATATAATGTATTATGATAAAATACAAACATAATGGTCTGATTATGTATTAATATTACATCATCTGTTGGAGTTAATCAAAATGCCTTTTTTTTTGTCATGCATGGTCAAAATTCAAAGCGTGACTTTTCCAAAAATTTTACTTTTAGTTGAATGAAATAAACTAAGATTATGAGAAAAGATTTTTTAAATACCGTATATTTCTATGTATAATGCACAGGTTTTTACCCTGAAAAGGGATACACACAGAAGAGGTGCGCACTATACATGGTTAAATAATTTTTGAGTTTTTTTGCCCTTCGAAAATACCGCGAATCGATGTTGAGGATCCTGTATGTCTGAGAGAAAATTCAAATTAAAAATAGAGAGAGCGGTATAAGGTTTGGTATAGAAGCACTGGCCTAGGTCACAAGTAGGGAGTGTGGATTTCAGCATTGGAATACATCAATTTGATAGAAAATCACCTACTTCTGGAGAGATTTACAAGATAAACAAATAATTGAGAAATACAAAGCGATTGTTTTAGGGAGTTAATGAAAGGGGATCTAATCTACCATGGACAAGAACATTACTCAGGTTTTTGTAAATGGATGAATACTTGTGGTCATATTGCTATCTAAGCTACCAGACATTTTATAGTTTTGTAGTTTTGCTTTTGTGGCCAATGATTATAAGAACTTCAAAAGACATGAGAAAACTATTTTTATGTAAGAATAAGATGATAAAAGGGATTGAATTAAAATGTATTTAAAGATGGGTTCCCTTATTTTCAATTATGAAAATGAAAATACTAATACTTCTATAAACAGGAAGTAGAGATGTTCTAATGACTTAGTTTAATACCAGTTTAAAATTAATTCATAATAACCTAAATTAGAAGAGAATTATAAGCAGAATTCCATTGAGTGACCGATCAAGAAAGGTCAACAATTATGATTGGTTAAAACTCTTAATTATATGCAATAATAAGATAATGATATGATTAAGATTACATGATAATTCATTAGAAACACCAACTAATCAAATATTTTGCATAATTTGACACAAAGAACAAGGAAACCCATCTTTAATACACTATCTCAATTGAATGCTGGTGGTTGTTCTTAGAACATCTTCAGATCAAATTCAATTTTTTTGTATCATAAATTTCTGTAATATAAACCAATAATAGAATTCAAATGCTTTCATATCAAGCCAATTCCAGATCAATTAATACAAGATTGCCATGCATGATATGAATAGAAAGGATGGGTTATTAATTTATACAGTAACATTTACCTATACTGAGTTTATAATAGAGATAAATGACTACCTGCTTGTAGTAATCTCCTTTATTAATCTCATAACAAGGGCAATAACCTATGTCTATATTAGTCTTAATAAATCTACTCAATATAACTGTTATTCATATATGTGTTTCCTAGCAAAATGTCAATATTTCAAATTTGAAACTTATTTTACTTTCAAATAACATACAATTACCTTGCAATGTTTCACTATCTTAACTGAAAATTTGTGTTTGTGTTAAACAAAAAATTGGATATAAACCAATTTGTGAAAATACAAAAATGTCTGACTTTTTTACTTTTCACCCTTCAAGAAAGTTGTTGTTCAAAAATGTCCAAAAACACCTCAAATATTATGATTAAAAAACTCAGGCATCAGGGATATTAATTTCACTGTATTTGCCAGTTATGGTTTGAGATTGAAGATCCAAAATGCCTGAAAACATAGTCTGTAAAACAGGAATTGGCTAGTTTTTTTAATCACAATTATGTTGAAATTTTTTCAATTTACACACTGATATGTTTTGATATTGGAATTTCAAATCGACAACACTGTTATCAATAGTGATAGGTAAAAAACAACAAAAAACTGAAAGACTATATAAACCTCAACCAAATTGGTGTGTAGAGTAGCCTCTATCATCCAGTCTCTCTCATAAAGCTTCAAGAAAACATGGCCTGGATCGCTTGCCTGATATCTTTGTAATTGACCAAGACTAAAGTGGCTGTTGAATC